AATGAAATAAGGGACACGGAAATCTCTAATAGCAGCAAACCAACACTCTGCAAGTAAAAAGACCAGTAGCAAGTAACAACACCACGCCAGTAAAAAAGACCGGCAACAAATAAACCACCACCAATACTGCTACTAATTAACTGTTTTATCTGTACCACTTATGCCACTTTCTTTCTGAAGAGCAAAATACACCTTTGCAGTCCTGTTTTCCTTCAAGCTTTGGCTCTTCTTGTTCCTCCATGATAGATAACGAAACCAAGGTAAAGCTCTAACTTATGAGCTTGCTGCTTATGGATCAATGCTGAGATTAGAAACCAGTACCCGCGTATCCATCCCGACGGCGGCAATAAGAACCATAACTCACTAGCCAATTCAGACCTTTGTGCATGTTCAACCCAAACATGCTCAACATCATCTGTACTTGTCGCGTATGATTCTTCCTACATTCCTTTTGCTATGATATGAGAGTGTTGCAACTACTGGTTGGAAGGAACTGCTTCAATTCATTCTTGGAAGCTAACCGTCTCTAATTCTTTCGCGCCTTTATACAATTCTAGCGATTCTCTAAGCTTCAAACTTTGCCAGGACTCGTTGGACTTGACACCTGAAACACCAACAATACCTTATTCGCTCTGTTAACAACCGCAAATTTCAATAAGTAGTTTCTTTTCATTCACGAGAAACTAGAGGGGTTTTACCTGGTTTACGAATCTTGAAGTGGCAATTGACGGAATGGGTTCTGAAATGCACCCAATGCTTTTTAACCAACACTGGTATACTTCCTCAACCAACCTTCCAAGGAGAACTTCAAACTGTGTCGAACTTTTGAACCTATAGTTCACCTAAGAAATGGAAATTGACAAAATTAGAAATCTTGAAAGCTTCCCAAGCCAGTAACTAACTTCAAGAACTCAACGTATCATCTTTCTCATTGTGCTCTTAGCTAAACTATCAAATCAGATGAAACCACAGTAATGTCGACCTGAGATGAGGGTTTCCCTTGGACTTAGATCTGGGCAATACGACCCCACCAAACCTACAGAGCTACACGAACAGACAGACCGATGCAGAATCGAAATTCGAGACATCAATTGGGACCATACTCAGGGAAAGAAACTATTTGGAGAACAGAGACAGTGAAGAATTTTTGTGGGGTGAATCGAAGAGGATGATTTATAGAAGATTGCATCGCTGCCGCAACATTCTGCTGGTCTCACACTCAGCCAGCCTTAGAAGACCTATGAGCAGCAATTGAAGTCGTGTTCATTTCTGTTATCTTGTATGCAGGTGTAAGAAGATAGTTTTGGTTATTAAATGGTCAAATCGGTTCCACAATATGTACACGGCGGGTGGGTTAGATTCCCCAAGGGACTTTCCTGTTTTTGCCTGGATTTGGTTTTGTAACAGAAGCTCTTCAGTAAGAAGTTTTGGAATTATCTGTTGTGAAAAATTGTACGTGGATGTGGATTTTGTCTCTGCTATATTTGTGCTTATATATTCTACCACTGATTGTAAATACTCGAATCAGATTTTAAATTTTCTTCGTTGGATTCAAGAGAACCTGATGCTGCTCCTCTTTCTTCAGCACAATCTAACTTCCGTTTCAATTGTGGAAGTCCAATTCTTCCTTTTTCTTCGTTTTTAGATTAGAAACAACTAGCTTATTACCGGGCCCGTTGGCCGGATTACTGTATGTTACCCACTTGTGGAATGGGAGAGAAAGCAAGTGAGAGTGAAGGGATTGGGATTCCACTTGATTAAGACCGGCCCACTAATCCGATTCTTCCCGACCCGCCCCAACCTAAAGGGTCAGAAAGAGTCAATAAGAAAATACGAATGGAGAGAATTAGTAATATATCTTGACTCTTCAGAAGTGGGTCAAACAGGATAAAGGTTGGTGAGGGCAATTTTTAGTGCTAAGCAGAGTTCTGGGTTGAATAACTTTACTTAGGCCTAGAAATTGGTGCTGATGCAGACTGCAGTTTTTATCATACCATCATCAATCATCATTGAATTAGTCCTGGGCATCCCTCCCCGTTGTCGGTCTGAATTTTAATGATGGCTTCATTCCTTGCACCAGCCATATCAGCAAGTTGTCATCTCGAGCATGATTTGCCTATGTACAAATGATACAATTAGAGTATGAAAATGAATTCAAAGAAAAGGAAAAGAGAATTCTATCACATGCCAATAAATACACACATAATAGTTGAAGCTAAGTGAAAGTCATTACTCGCACATCAATTCTCAAAAATTACAGACTAAACAATGGCTAGAATGGCACTGAAACTACCAAGAATCATGGACGAAACAACTTGTCAAATTAAATAATCCTTATACTGAAACTACATTCTAACTTGAAATAAGACATGATCACAGTTCATAGCACTCTTATCACTATGAATTGGTTGCAGCTCGTCCTTATCACTACCTCCCAAGCTCAATTCAAACAGAATAGACACAGTTATGTAAGATAACCATATCCTTACCGATCATAATTCCTTTCTTCACTCCATTTTTGTCGGAGAAAAAAGTTATCCCCCTCTCATGCATTTCCCTTTCCCCCTCTCTTCTCCCTCTTCTTCACAAACCGATCCCTAAACCAGCAACAACAACACAAAATAGCCTTCGCCTCTGCCACCTCCATCTGCTGAACGCGTTGGTGGCAAGACAGGACTGCAGAAGCAAAATTTTCTAAAATCAAACTAAATTTTTTGAAGGAGACTCAACCACGAAAAAAGAGTAAAGCAACAATGCTAATAGTTCAGATGGTTGGTTTTGATGTTATACGTTGCTTTTGTTATGGTCTCCAGTGTATCAACTGCAACAGAGATGTTTCCTCCAATCATCTTTAGTGCACGATTTAGAAGTAAGTCCTCTTGTTTGTGTCAAACGGAAACATTCATGGGTTCTTAACTCCCCTGTTAGTGTAAATGCATCAGCAGCAAAGAAGTTTGACAACAAAGCAAGCACCCAGGCAAAATGATACAATGCAATAGGTGATATGTGTCTTGAAGGTTTTGAGGTACTAAAGTTCATGTTAAAAATAAACATGAATTAAAATGGATTATTCTATTAAGCAAACATCCCCTCTAATCATACAAAGATCAAATATCTAATTCACAAACAATTAAGCCATAAAAAATCATCACACATCCACCACCTTTGATTTCCTATATTTGTTTTTTCGCAAAGTTATGGACTCTTAAGGGTAAAGTTCATGGGTAGTCTGTTTCATAACTCTAGAGAGCACAGTAAGCAGCCACCAACCAGACACAGTGCGGTAGGCGAATATGATTCTCAATTCACAATTTCTCACCACCGGAAGTAAGAACAGACCATAATAAGCGTAGCGTTCATGGGTGGTCTGTTTCATAGCACTACTACACAATTTGTTAAAAAAGAAAGAAAGGTATTTAGCATCACGGCGGAACAACTTTTAAAGGCCAGCACGACAACATGCTGCAACCACCGGAACTGGTATCACAACTCATAGGGAAATCAAAAGATTTACTCTTAAATTAAGTAGTTACAACATCGAGCAATCGTCAAGCACATACACCATCACAAAAGTCACAGAACCTGATTAACAAAACATTCAAACATTTGAGGACATTTCTTCAATGATACAACTTATATGTCTTTTTTCCAAGCCATTTCCATCAACATGCTAATAAATTTGCAATGCATAAAACAAATGGGCCAAAACTTGAAATTCAACCTGTTTGACCGACCTATGCCAAATTCTAATTATTCTTTACTTTTAAACTTTCTATTTGAAAATAAAAAATAGTGAAAGAAAAAAGACGACTACAATTCGCCATTTGCACATCACTTATTCGGGAATAAAACCATATAAATTCAAAAGGAACTGAAAATGTTGAGGATCGTTTTAATGTTTAAAATTACCAAATAGATTTTTATGTTTAGTTTTTTACTAACAAATACCAAACGATTCCCTATAAAATACACTATAATTTAATCATTATGATGTCAAATAATTATAAAATATATATTTGAAATGATAAAAATTGGACTAATTGGGTTGGTCGAGGTTGAACCATTGAATAACTTTAAAATACATTATATTTTAGCCACTAAGATATAAAATAATAGCATAATATATATTATGCCATAGAAAATAGCTTGTTTTAGAATGGCAAACCCATGATGTTCATTTGTTTTACTTGATGACCAAATCCCATGTAGGTCAGACCCATTCAACTCTTTTATTTTATGGTTAGCGGTTAGCCCATTAGATACCATGCATTAGTCTATTGTTAAATTTTTTATTTTTAACAATAAAAAGGAGTATTATTTTTGCCTTTTCATATATATTTTATCACCACGGATAAATAAAAGGGTATAAAGAAAAAAATTGACACTCCTGGACTCGTTTAAATCCGCATGTGTACGGTAAGTTGGCCCGTTCCACAGAGGAAAGAGAAAAAAATTGACACTCCCTATTCTACCATTCCTACAAACGCTCATGGAACAGGGAATTTGAAATGGGGGAAGAGTTTTTTCCACCCTGCTATTATATGTTTTTAATTTAAAAGGATACAACAAATGTACTTAGTGTGATTGGTTATGATTCTTGCCTTTCTTTAAAATGGTCATGGTTCAAATCCCAGTACATATCTTTTTAATGAATAAAAAAAAGTAATTGTGAAGACCAAAATGTCCTTCCTACTTTCACTCTCGTTGCAGGAAATTTGAAATGAGGCTCCCGTTTTTCCCTTCGGTGTATTATATTATGTGTAGATGAATGTAAACCATCAGTGCTAACCCAACATAAAATCAGTTATCGCATTATATCTCTCTTGAATCACAGAATGATCCATTTATGTTTGGTAAGTTGGACTCAAATCCCAGCGCGGAGCGCGGACAATGAAAACTAGTTTTCAAATAAAAACCTTGATTGACAGATTGGCCCGCTAAATGGATTAGATAGGCTTAACAGGTTCAGCCCAAAGCCCAATTTTCAATTCTGGCTCAGCCAAGATCAATTTTTTTATGAACCAAAATAATTTTTAAGAAAAAGAAGAAAAAGAGTATAACTAGCAAAAGCTGCGCGCCACTCAAATGTGGAAGAATTTCTGATTGTGGATTTGAAACAAACAGCCATGGCCCTGAAGCTTCTGTGGCCTCCTCCACCTTCTCCTTCTTCTTCAGCTCTATCGCGCCCAAATTCCTTCTTCTTCTCTTCCACTTTCGCTTCTAGTCCCACACCCGTCTCCAGGACGCTTGATCACCTCTTCCAGCGGCGATCGAAGAAGGAAGGTTTGAGGCGAAGACCGGTGAGCGCTTGCCTGAAGGTGGAGCAACAGCAGGGAGCCGCAAAGGCAACGAACCAGTGGGGTAAAGTTTCTGCTGTGCTTTTCGACATGGATGGAGTGCTCTGCAACAGCGAAGAGCCCTCTAGAATGGCGGCCGTGGATGTCTTTGCTGAAATGGGTGTTCAGGTCACGGTGGACGATTTTGTGCCGTTCACTGGCACTGGTAAACGTTTCGTGCTCATAGCTAAAAATATGGTTTGAATTCCTCTGCAATTGTTGAGAATTGAAGTCTCTCTGATGGTTCTTACTCAACTTCCTTCTAAATGGGGAATGGAAATGCTGAATTGTTGTTTTGAATCGGTGTTTGCTTACTGGGTTGGTGACCGCAGTCTATCAATCTTCATGCATTCCATGTACTAGGTGAAATAAACTTTCTAGGCGGGGTAGCGAATGCTAAGGGAGTTGATGGGTTTGATCCGGAGGCAGCCAAGAAGAGGTTCTTCGAGATCTATCTGGATAAGGTGATGACTAGTTTCTGAAGATTATGTTCGATAGGGATGGTTTTCGCTTGCTTTATCTCTGACATGGTCTTGGGGGTGGTGTTTTCCAGTATGCAAAACCCGAGTCTGGGATTGGATTCCCAGGTGCTCTTGAACTGGTTACTCAGGTTTGTTACTTAGTGATTATACTGAATTTTCAGCTGTATGTTGAATTATCAAGTTTTGTTGAGTGCTTTATGCTTCTTTTTAAACAGTGCAAAAACAAAGGCCTCAAAGTAGCTGTTGCTTCTAGTGCTGACCGTATAAAGGTCAATGCGAACTTGGCTGCTGCTGGTTTACCTATTTCAATGTAAGCTTCTGAAGCTTGCTTGTGACTTGTATGGATGGGGAGTATTAGACCTTATGGTCGTTTCTTGACTTTTTTGCTATCAGGTTTGATGCTATTGTGTCAGCAGATGCTTTTGAGAACTTGAAACCAGCTCCTGACATTTTCTTGGCCGCGTCAAGAATATTGGATGTTCCACCTAGTGAGGTTTGTATCTGATAATGTTTCTCAGGCGACAGGACAGCCTTATTCTTTCAGGATTATAAATTAGACGGAATTTTCACTCACAATGTTTGGTGCGAAATTGTTCCCAGTGTCTTGTGATTGAAGACGCATTAGCAGGTGTACAGGCTGCTCAGGCAGCAAACATGAGGTAAGTTTGATAATGTACTCTCCTCTAGAAGTCGCAAGTATATCTGGTATCATAATTTCTGTCAGACTAGGCACTAATGATTTGTAAAATTGTCTCGATTCACTGCCTCCTGATTGGACTACATATCCAAAGCATGATTCTCCATCGCCATCCCTTTTTTCTTCCTCCCCTGAGATGGGTCCTGTTTTCCAACATTATTGATTGAGGATTAGTCTTGTTTAACTTGGTTTAGATTAATGTAGACCAAATGGTACCACATCCATTGTTCCATGAAAATTGATGGATTCTTCTGTATTACTTATTGCAGATGCATAGCTGTGACAACTACCATGTCCGAAGAGGCTATGAAAAATGCTGGCCCCTCTCTCATCAGAAGCCAGATAGGAAGTGTTTCAATTGAAGATATTCTGAGTGGTGGATCTGATTCCTATAGTATGTAGCCCTGAGAATTCGCTGGAACTGTCATTCTGTATAATTCAGACAATTGAAAGCTCTTTCTGTGCTTACTTGATACTTAGAAGAATTCTCTTGTGAGTACTGTATACTTTGAAATTTTTGGGAGGATTTCAGAGATTTTTCAAGACCGCAGACGAGAGCCTACCTCTTTATTCTCCTCCTTGAAGTGTCTATCATGGATAGTAGGGAAGACTAGTAGACTATTTCCTAATGAACATGCATAATTGCAGATGAGAAGATGCAGCAACCTCAGGTTCTGCAATTTTCTGTACAGAAGTCCGAAGCTGTTGTTACAGACAGAATGCAAAACAGCCCGATCCTTAACGAAGAAATTGCTATCAGTGAGAAAGTTTCCTCTACAGGCGGGTAAGAATCTGCTGTGTTCATAAAATTTCACAAAGATGTGAGAATCCTTTTCTCTTAAATTGACTGGAATTGAGAGAACTCATCTAAGAGCTGGCTAAGCCATCTACTGACTGTAATACCTAGGTTTAAAATAATAACTTTGTTGATCATTAAACAATGCACACAAAAAGCCTTTATGTAACAGCTTCAGCTTGAAGTTGCAGATATAATTTATCGACAGGTTGCAGGGTTCTCGGCGTGAAATCATAAGATATGGAAGTCTGGGAATCGCTTTGTCTTGTCTCTATTTCGCTGTCTCAAACTGGAAGGTAAGTCACCTAAAAGGGTATTGTAAATGTTATATGCCTATTTTTCAAAGTAATAATGCCTATATTTATGTGGAGCTGGATTTTGTTGCTTATTAATTGGACTGTTTGAAAGTTGTGCCCTTACAGGCAATGCAATATGCATCCCCTAAAGCGATATGGAACGTGTTGTTTGGAGTCAACAGTCCTTCTTTTGAAAAGGGTGAAAGTGCAGGTATATTTTTGGTTCTTCTTACTCGTGATTGAAAATTGAAAAAGGGACTGGATTGCATGCCGCCTGAGTAATTCTGAATTACAGTAATATTTCTTTTCACTTCTGAGTTATAGTGAAATTTCTATTCGTGAAGTTTATAGATTGTTCCTGAAGTTAGACTTTCTTATCTGGTCCCTTGTTCATTATGCCAACCCTTCAAGTTTATAGAGGTTCCCGAAATTGGTTGCTAATCCTAAGCTGCTCTCTCAAGGTTAAGAGAATAGGGCCTTCCTCTTCAATATTTCTTATGTGCATCAAGTAACCAGTTGCAATTGGCTGTAGGAACACCTCGGTTCTCTAGAGTCCAACAATTTGTCAAGTATATATCTGATCTAGAAGCCAGGTGAGCAAAATTATGCCAGTTTGACCATGTTGACGCCTTTGCACTAGTACTATGATATTTGTACAAGCACTAGGTTTCATGTGCTTAACATGAAAATACTAGTGTATGTAATCCCTTATTTACTTTACCTTAGTTTATTAAATTTATCTTTTCAGGGGATCTACTACCACAGTCCCTGAATTCCCATCAAAACTTGATTGGCTTAACACAGCTCCACTTCAATTTCGCAGAGTAAGTTTCCCTCAACTCAAATATCTTAGCTGCATAATGAAGCATCCAATTATCATCATCAATACATCTATAAGAGCCAGTGGATAGTTTTTCTCTCACCTATCAGACATTTGGGTCGTAGGGATTTCTGTATACCTCTGCAAAAAAATTCTGCATTGTAGCCAGGATCCATAACTTGAGCATGGAATATGAACATTGCATGAACAATTTCTGGTGCTGAATTTACCAAAAACATCTGACTTTACCTCCATTTGAAATGCGAAGATCGTAATTGTGTGCGGTGAGCTATTCTTTTTCTTTTGAACAGGATTTGAAGGGAAAGGTCGTGCTGCTGGACTTCTGGACCTACTGCTGTATAAATTGTATGCATGTGTTGCCAGATCTAGAATTTTTGGAGAGGAAGTACAAAGATATGCCGGTAAAGTCCTATTTGCTCATTCTTGTAAATGTCTATTTGGATACCATGTCGGGCATATCACTCCAGCCATGTGCTCTTATCAAAGATCCCAGAACATAAATAATAAATTCATACCACAATCTATCCTTGTGTTTGGATAACAGAAAAGGACCCAATAAAGAATTTTGTTTTTAGGTTGTATGGTGAGCTTATAGGACCGAACTGCATAACTCCGAAATCTTTAACGAACTAAGCATTGCGCTATCCAACTCTTTGGAACATTTCATTCTCTTTATGGGTTGCTATATGGCTATTGTTAGAAGTTTCACATGTGATGCTTTCAGCAAAGCTTCAATTATTGTTGTTATTATAATTATTTTTCTTGTTTTGTCTCTGACACGTGTATTCGCAATTCTTTGTTTTCAGTTTACTGTTGTTGGGGTACATTCTGCTAAGTTTGATAATGAGAAGGATTTAGAAGCCATAAGGAATGCAGTTCTACGCTACAATATATCCCATCCAGTAAGTGATGTATATTCTTACAAAGAAATTCCTTTTTGTAGCACAAGATTGAAGGATACTTGATATGCAGCCGCTCACTTGAAAACTCTATGCAAAGAATGAGGGTAGAGGTGATAGATATCTACTTGCAAGGGAATATATAAGTTAGGCATAGAAAAACTATAAAAGGTTGGTTTGATCTTGTAGCTTGGGCTCAAGAATGTCAAAGGTAGATACAATGGCATGTTGGGTGCAAGATGAGTATAACTGGCCAATTATTTCACTTGTGTTCTATATATAGGATGTTCTTTATGTTGTTTTTCTCCATGTTCATCTTTAGTGAACCGTTAGGAATGCAGTTTACTATCTTCTGTATGCTAATAAATTTTCTGTCTCTAGGTTGTCAATGATGGAGAGATGTATTTGTGGCGGGAGCTAGGTATCAATTCATGGCCTACATTTGCTATTGTTGGTCCTAATGGAAAACTTCTTGCACAAGTAGCTGGAGAAGGCCATAGACAGGTACTCCAAATTGTTTACATTGTAGTTACCATAGTAAATGCTCATTTATTAGAGGCAGCTCTTATTTTAACTTCATGCATGTAGATCATTAGAAAGAATGCCTCACTTTCTCTGTCTTTTGCTTCAGGACCTTGATGATTTGGTTGAGGCAGCTCTTCTCTATTATGGCAAGAAGAAGATCCTGGATAAAACCCCAATTCCACTGAACTTGGAGAAAAATAGGGACCAACGTTTTTACAATTCGCCTTTGAAGTTTCCTGGAAAGCTGGCGATTGATGTACTTAACAATCGACTATTCATCTCAGACAGCAACCACAACCGTATAGTAAGATTTTATGTTCTCTTTCTACTCATGGACAGAGAACACTTGAAATTACTATGCTCGCTGCAACATAAAGAGAGTTTCCTATGAGTGAAATCAGTAAATACCAAATTTTGTAATGGGATATTTTGTGCCAATAGTGTTTGACACTTATCAGTCTCGTTACTTCGTTCTGTTGGAGCCAGGTGATAACGGACCTGGATGGAAACTTTATTTTACAAGTTGGTAGCACAGGAGAGGAAGGACTTCGTGATGGTTCCTTTGAGACTGCAGCCTTTAATCGCCCTCAGGTAATCAATTATCTCAAGTTGAAGTTTCATAAGGTACTTCACGGCTAACACATGCTTTTTGCTTGAGAACTGGGCAGATGAAACTTGATTCTATGCTGTACTCACGGTTGGGTGTGCCTGGATTAAACTCTTTTTTGTTACATGGTTCTACAGGGTCTGGCTTACAATCCGAAGAAAAATCTCCTTTATGTTGCGGATACAGAAAATCATGCATTGCGGTCAGTTCAGACTTCTAATTAATACTCTCTCAATCAACAACAAAATCTTCAAGAATGTGAATGAAAGGATTAGGATACTCTATTAACTTATTGATCAGTCATTTTGAGCTTTTATGACTGTAGGGAGATCAATTTGGTTGATGATACTGTGCGGACTCTCGCTGGAAATGGAAACAAAGGCAAGGATTACCAGGGAGGAGGAAAAGGAACTGACCAGGCAAGGAAATGAACATTGTTTAGGTGTCATTGATGGATGGGTCTTCTACTATTATTCTTCATAAAGTTTGGGTGTCTTTCTATTTCGTGGTTCTGTTTTCCTAGACATTCTGTTATTCATAATTAAAGACCTGAATTTATGTGCTGTTGGTATCAGCCAGGTTATAAAGTCTACTTTACTTGTTATAGGTTCTCAACTCTCCATGGGACGTATGCTTTGAGCCGGTGAATGAGAAGGTTTACATTGCTATGGCTGGGCAACACCAGATATGGGAGCACGACACTATGGATGGAGTTACTAAAGTGTTCAGTGGTGATGGTTATGAGAGGAATTTGAATGGCTCAGAGTAAGACATTAGTATCGGCTTCTGTTTCTTCCACTTAGTCATGTCACTGGTTTATCTTTCCTTGGCATGTATATTCTAATTCTAATATTTATATAGACCGAGTCACCTAACATCTCTTTTACTTTTTTGCATTAGTATGCACTTCCTAGAAATTTGGAATAATATGTTGTTTTTCATTTTTGGGACAGCTCTAAGAGTACATCATTTGCTCAACCCTCTGGGATTTCATTTTCTCCAGGTAAAAGTTTGGTAATGTTTTGACAACTTTCATTTCCCTCAATAGCCTAGATCATGACTGCTCCAACAGTGTTCATCACAAATTAGAGTTTCACTCTAATTCTTATCAACAGATTTGAAGGAGCTTTACATTGCTGATAGTGAAAGCAGCTCCGTCCGGGCCCTTGATCTGAAGACAGGAGGATCAAGGCTACTAGTTGGTGGAGATCCAATTTTCCCTGAAAATTTGTTTAAGGTAGTAATTCAGTTAACACCCCCATAATTTTTAATGGAATTTTAGCACAGTGTTGCTATTACAAACAAACACCTTGACCTTATGGACCTGGATTTTCAGTTTGGAGATCATGATGGAGTAGGATCTGAAGTACTTCTTCAGCATCCCCTGGGTGTATATTGTGCCAAAGATGGTCAAATCTATATAGCAGATAGCTATAATCACAAGGTTAGCATTATAGCATGCTGTCTTTTGGTGCATCTTTTAAGTCATTGTCCCATTGATTCTTTAGCTGTTTGCTACCAGGGAAATTTTTCATGTATGGCCGCGTAAGTTGATTTTACGAAAATTTTCTTATCACTTGGCAGATCAAGAAGCTAGATCCATCAACTAGACGAGTTACAACAATTGCTGGAACAGGGAAAGCTGGTTTCACGGATGGAAAAGCAATAACTGCTCAGGTTAGAAACTGCTTTACAAAATGTTTCCTTACTGTTGGTATATAGGCAGAGAAAAAAAACACACACAGGATGCTAAAAGATAAATCGAGGTATGGTTTGGTGGTTATTCAATTTCTTCAATCATCCTTCATGTAAAGAAAAATCTTAGCTCTTTTTCTTCCTTTTATTTCTAGTTTGCTTGTAATAGTGACTTTTGTGTTTTTTTGCAGCTCTCTGAACCAGCAGGAATCATTGAACTGGAAAAAGGTGATTGTCTTCCAGACATATAATTATATTAACTAAAACTCAGTGACTGTCATATCTGTCCACAATTTCTTTTTGCATTTTTTCTGTTGGTAATAGCACTGTAATAGTTTTCCTTGGTAAAATGCAGGTAAACTGATCATAGCTGATACAAACAACAGTGTTATCCGGTGTTTGGACTTGAATAAAGAAGAACCCGAACTTCGTACCCTGGAGCTGAAGGGCATTCTACCTCCCGCTTCGAGATCTAGATCGTTGAAACGTCTAAGGAGAAGAGCGTCAGCCGATACACAAATAGTTAAAGTCGATGGAGTTTCGACCAATGAGGGAAAGCTGCTGCTTAGAATATCATTGCCCGAGGAGTACCACTTCTCGAAGGTAACCCTGTCTTTAACTTTGAAATCCGTTAAACAAAAAACTAATGCTTGTTAAAGTCGATCTCATGATTTTCATTTACTGAATCTCTGGGGCAGGAAGCTAGAAGTAAATTCACGGTCGATGCTGAACCTGAAGAGGTGCTGTCCATCGATCCCTCAGATGGATACCTTAGCCCAGAAGGAACTGCTGTCCTCCACTACAAGAGAGCTTCCTCCTCAGTTGCAACCGGGAAAATAGGGTGCAAGGTAAGGCTGCAAACCTAAGATGGCAAGTGCTGAATCTTTTTCAATAAGAAAACTACCAGAGGTGCTGACTCGTGCGTAATATATCTGTTGTTACAGGTTTACTATTGCAAGGAAGACGAGGTTTGTTTGTACCAGTCGCTCATGTTTGAGATACCATTCCAAGAGGAAAGTCGAGAGTCTACCGCGTCAGAAGTCACACTCGCTTACCTCGTGAGGCCCAAGGGAACAACTGGCTTGCAGCTACCGGTTGCAGGCTAACAGCAAGGGCCGTTGGCATGTATATATATATATATACTGTAAGATCCCTATTACAGCTTCCTCTCTGTTTCTTATCACATCCTAATAGAGAGCCCCATCAATCAGAATGAACATTTGATTGCTTGAACATATGATGAGACAAGCACCATAAAAGATGTCAGAGTTAAACCAAATAACCTCTTGTCATTAGAAGTTTAGAACCCAATTCGTTTTATGTTATCGTGCGAAGAAAAGTAAAACCTATAATTTTCTTGATGTTTGGTGTATAACTGTATCTAATGTTGTGTACTTATGAGAAATGTCTTAGCTGAGGGAGACATGGAGAAAGGTCAAACGATGCCTGAAATACTGTTATACGTTATCCAGTTTCTAGAACTAATATTAGGTTTAGGGTTTCAGGATTGAAAACTTTGTTTAATGGGACTAATGATTATGTGGCTCTGATTGAATGCTTAACGGATTGTTAAGTTCAATCAATTATATTAGTTGTGCGTTGGCAGCAAGCTCATTAGTTTAAGCTATAAAATAATTATGATGATCAATGACTAATTTTGAGTTTGACATAAGCAAAGAGGGGTTGATTGCTCATCAAGGCAACGCAAGCACACCATGCGCCGCTGTATTGGATTGGCTGGCTGGAGGTGATTTAGCAATGACATCGGGCAAACTCGCGGGACCGGTTTATTCGTGGATTTAGCTTGAATTGGTGGCTCGGGTAAAATATTAAAAAAAAAAACTTTCAGCACAATTAGTTTTCTTGTTCTTGGTTTTATGCTTCGTTTGAACGATATTCCTGAATGGAGACGACACAAGTGCATATGGATAAATTTTGAGCACCATATCAGAAGCAAGAACGCATATTTGTTGTTGACCTTCTTTCTCTTATAGATGATGTTGCCTCGTAAGATGTCGCGTACATACATCGTTAGTCGGTATTGGTTTAAATTCGTGTTTACAACTAAACGAGATGTATCCATGTATCACCTAACTAATGAAGAAAAGAACCCAACTCCAATTTTGTTTAGATATAGTATGAACGTTTAATAATGATAGAGAAGGCTTTATTAGTCTAACCACACCATGTGCCACTTCTCTTTTCTTATCTCAATGAATTGTGTTCTTCCAAACTAATTTAATTATTTAGTATTTAACTTGCAAGTTGGATTAATTAGTGCGTTAATCGCGTTGCTTAGCGCCTCAAATCACTTTTGTATTCTTTTGCCTATAGCTTCTTGATTACAACGGGATTCTCTTCATTCTACGTTGTAATTAGCCGGCGGAGTTAGGCTAATGACACCAAATTATTGCTTTTAATCGGCTACTTACGGCCGACTAAGTAAGGTAGACTTTTGGAGATAGGCCTGCCTGCCTGCCCCCATTAATGGGGCGAGTCAACTTACTCCCACTTAACAATTATTCGAAAATCGAAAGCCTAATCCATCATCAAGACGATTGGAGCCAAATGGTTTACTTGTCAAATCCTAGCATTAACGAACTATTAGTCATTTCTACTTTCTAATTTTCTTTTTGTTTGAGAACGTTTGGCTAAGAACATGATCCTTAGGATTGGGAGAGAAAATAAGTACAATAGTGAAGCATTATGCAACTAGATGAAGATGGAAGTTGGGAGTGTAGTATAGGAGTGGCATCAATTCGACTCGAGTGCATCAATTCGACTCGAGTTTGAAACGGTATAGGATTGTAATATTGCTGATGAAGGGCGGGGAAGATGCATTCTATATAATTCGGTTCTATTTGATTCCATTCAGGTTAACATGTTTCTTTTCAAAGGGATCGAAGTATGCATCGTCACATCGAATCGAGTCGAAGTAAAGCAAGATATAGATATCTTAAACATGAAAATTTTGAAACTAAATTCATTGATACAATGTCACGAACGATCACTTTATGCACTGGATTGCATTGTTCCACATATTTAAAAGTCACTTTCAATAATCAAAAACTTAATTCTCATATGCTCTTGTTTTGTCATAGATATCGAATCTAATTACTCCTACAATCGAAGAGACAAAAGGAAAAGATAAACCGATAAACACCAAGACTCAAAGTCAATCATCTCAAGAGTATCATTTATCACGAATGCCACCATTTTTCAGGGATCGCATTTGAAAGATACATTGTATGCATTCATAAAATCATGTATTGTACACGTAAATATGTACATCTATACAAGTATTTTTTTTTATAGATTGTTAAGAAGACTCCATGTTTAGGGAGCAAAGGAATTGAAGGGAGGGGGGTGGATCGAGGTAGCTTCCTTGTCTTTTGTATGCGTCAGCGTCACTCACATCACATGTCTCTTAAACAAAAACAAGCATTTCTTTTTACAGCTAATCAAAAGGCTTTGGGATTAACAAAGAGGAAAAAGGACTAATGAAAAACAAACTAATCAATAATCAATCAATTAATTATATTATAATGTCGAGATTAGGGAACATGACCAGAAAGCAGAACCCAATTCCCTGCTCCTAATAATGATGGATAAGCATGAATTTGCTTTGGATGGATGAACAAAATCCCATCCCTATCCACCCCTCACATGCTTAAACTTTGAATTCCCTCTCCCCATAATTATAATAATAATAATCTCAGCATTTCCATCATGTTTGACAGCAGGGCAGATAGATTTATGTAGCTCGAAATGTGTCGATATTTGGAGGAAAAAAATTCGTTATATTTTTATTTCATTTTGATGTGTTGCTGCACGTATTATAATAGGATATCGTTCTGATTAATAAATCATTTCAAAACTATTTATAATCCATACTATCCATTTTGTTTTGTAATATGAAAGTAATTGGATTGATAATTAGGATTGGAGTTAGCCGTCTCGTTACACCTTATTTTTAGGGACAATGTGAATCCAAAACAACATTATGTTGCATTAAAATATTATGCGCATACTTGGTTCCACGAGGATCACGAAAAAATACAATGCACTTAACTATGGTTGGATGCTCCGAGAAGTAAGTACACACATGTGATAGTCGTAACTAGGATTAACGTAGTAGTCAATCATAAATTTTTTTTACCCTCTCTACAAATGTGACGAACGAAATATGCTTAGATCGAGATGGTGGTGCAGAGGACATTAAGAAATGTAACGTATCGATCATACTGGTCATAAAGATGTAGGATCATTCCATAACTAGGCCCCATTGGATAAACAATCTTCCTTTATACACCCATACTTCAAGTAAGTTTGAGATCCTGGAAGACCACTCCCATTAGACTCGATCGATGCAATGTTGGGTACATATGTGGGCAAAATTGCAAACATTGGTGTATGGAGGGAGGGTAAGTAAATTTTGGTTAGATTTAACATTGTCAGAGAAAGAAGCAACAAACAACTGTTGAAGGTTAGATTGTGTTGTTTGTTTCTTTCCTGGGCAGGATGTGTTGTTGGATTTGGTTTCCACAGTATCAATAAAGAACAATTCCAATGTTACCACCTGCTGCCGATGGATGGATGGATTGCAGATGGGACAATAACAAATTCGATTTGGCAGTAAAAATGGATAATGAAATATGGGTGAAGTTTGTATGAGGTGAATAATATGCCATTAAAAATGGAAAAAGTATAGGGTTCAATGATATGAATCATACTATCGTAATACAATCATAAGGGGGTAGTATGATTCGTAACAGGGATGGTAAGACACAAGTTTGGTAGTTTTTGAATTACGGTACAAAATCTAAAGGCGACAAACCCTAAAAAAATCCACGACTTACAACTCATAATATAATCGCATCATGATAGTATGATTTGTATCAAGTGTGGTAAGACCAAGGACTGCGAAACCGTGTCGAAGGTTATATCGAAAAAGTCAGTGATGGGGTATTTTGTACTAAAAAATCGTGGTTCAACCATTTCCAACCGCTGAAAACGCCTACCGTTTTGGAGTCGGTACACGATATTTCTGGTCCGACCGGCCAGTACAATAGGATTTCTAAAACATTGGTAAGACACAAGATTTTGTAGTTTTTACCGTTCTAGATTTTGTACACTGTTATTTTCCATAAATATTTTCTTTATATAAACCAAGGATTGTAATGCCGGAAGGGAGGTTGTATAAGAAAAATAAGTTGTAGTGTATTAATTTTATGATGAAACCGGGATTCAACCGCTTCATACCACTAAATACCACATATCACACGTTTAGTCTCCAATAAGAGTTTTTTGTGGTTAAAACGCTAGTATGATACAATTTTTCAAGATATAAACCGTTAAAACACTTAACCATATGGTGTTTGATTAATATGGGTCATTGTACTTGGTCTGTGTCTCATTACTACATACATACAGTAGAAAATCCTGCAGGTACGTGCATAGAAGAATCGAATAAACAAATGTTGATGAGAAGAGCAATGTTCCAAATCTTGGGGTTGCGACATTGAAGCTTGTCGAGCTCCGGGAGGCAACTCTCGCTGGCAACGCCGCTGCACTCATCTTTTTTTCTTATAATAATATTTCCACACTGTCAATGGCTGAATCTTGAGGGTGCCGATCTGTAAATAGACAAAGCCCATCTTTTCATTTTTCACCTTTGTTGTAAGGATTGAAAAACATACTTGCTGTTCAGCTACAAAAATGTCATAGCGGTAGCGGTATTTAACAATATAAAAAATTGTTGAACCGTTATTAAATCACGGTTTTAGCATAAAATATTCTGCCGCTAACATTTCCAGTACAACCCCCGGTATGGTATTTCAATTATTGCTTAGTAGTATGTTGTACTGCATAGGTGGGATGAACACTTTGTAGACAAAATTGACGCTTCAAAATTATCCTAATGGATCGATATGTTTCTGGTATTTTTGTTTCTCTGAGTACGATGTTTGCTTATGTAATTTGGGTGGCGATGGTGAGGAGTTGTTACACGAACAATATAACGACACATTCAGCGATGACAAATGATGGAATGTACTAATTGTCCAATGTTAAGTAATTTCATGATGCTAATGAGTTTGTGCTCTTTTAGAGTTTTTGCCGTAGCACAAGCTGGCCAAGTTTGTTAACTAATAAATATATATGTCTAGAAACATGATCCCAAGTCACTGCAAATCTTGTAATTAGAACAAAATACTAGGATTTGGAAAAATAATGTATTGCCCCAACATCTTCAGTTATTACACAAATAATGCAAAACATGGAGGAAGTATAGTAGCTAGTAGTGGGTAGTGGTGGCATGTAATCTATAGTGGGAAGAACAACTCTTATTATTTTCCTAGTTTTTGAAATGTGTGGATCCAAACATGGCCACAACTCTCCTCCTTGTTCATTTTTTTTTATGAATCATTGGGATCTTTATTCATAAAAAAAGTGGTTGCTAACAACATCCTTGCTAGCTAGGGAGTCTAACCAAATCAGTGAAAACAAGTAATGTAAACCTTCCTCTGAGACAGATCACAGTTTAAACATTCCAAAAGAGTCCCACCCTATCACAGCCTAAAACACACAACCTCAGATTTAATGACAAACAACACCTCATGAAAACCTTTAGCATTAACTCCATACAATCTACGACAGCGTTCTCTCCAAACCTGACTTACCCACGATTGCCAGATGAGCCTTCCCGTTTCAGCAACTTCAGTTTGCTGGCTATACTTCAACATCATCCATGAAACCATGTCCTTCCAAGTTTGGATTAAAGGAACCTGCATAGAGCCACTAAACAACTTATCAAGGAGCTTCCTGGTGAAAGGACACAGTGCAAACAAATGATGTCTGCTCTCAGTCCCCCCCCCCCCCCCACCACAAAAAGCACAAGCCAGCGATCCCAAATACCCACATTTCTGCATTCTTTCCTTTGATGTATA